AGAGCGGCCGCCCCGCCAACGACGGCCCCAAGTTCCTGGCCGCCCTGCAGCACCTGTGGCCCGAGCTCAATGCCCAGCGGCAGCTGCCGAGGGCGTGGCGCGCGGTGACTGGGTGGCGCAAGCTCGTGCCCGTCCACCGCCACGCGCCGCTGCCCTACCGCGGGCTGATGGGGCTGCTCGGCGGGCTGCCCTGGTTAGGTTTCCTGGAAGAGGCGATCGCCATCCTGGTCGCGTTCATGGCCCACCTGCGCCCGGGCGAGCTGTTTGCCCTGTCTGGCGAGTCGCTCGTGCCACCAGTCGCAGGCTCAGGAGGCTCACCGATCTGGGGGATCATCTTGGGCGCCCACGAGCTTGGTCGCTCAAACAAGACAGGCGAGTACGACGAGAGCGTGATGCTGGACTGGGCGGCCTGCGGATGGCTCGGCTACACCTTGCAGCTGCTCGCGGACCAGCGGGCCACAGGCCCTCTCTGGTCCTGCGACGCAGAGCACCTGACCTCCGTGCTGCCCAACGCCGCGCTGACCAACGGGTACCACGTGCTGCTCCCGCAGCTCTACTCGCTGCGCCATGGGGGGCGTCCTTCGATGAGATCTCTCAGAGACGGGCGCTGTCCGATATCAAGATGCGAGGCTGCTGGCGGACGGGCGGCTCAGTCAGGCGCTACGAGAAGGCGGCCCTGGCCTTGCGGGAAGCGACCAAGCCGTCGCCCGCCACCGCCCTCTTTCGCGCGGACGATGGAGGAGGGCCTGGCGAGATGCATGCAAAGTCGCCGCCCACCTCCGGCGCCGCCGCTGGCCGCCCCCTCTGCCCTGCCGCCTCCGCGCTGAAGCTGCGGATGAAGGCTGAGGTCGCCCGCGCCCTGCGCGAAGGGCACGGAGGAGGCGTCGGGCCAAGCGGATCGCTACGCAGTTGCGTGGCTTGGGCGCCGCCGTCGTGACCCTCGAGGACGCCGGGTGCCCGCTGCAGGATGCGAGCCTGGCTGGGGCGCGCTCTCTGCTGCTCGCCTGGATCCAGCAGGGGTTCATCAGCGGCCCGTGGCCGGGCACGCCTTGCTCGTCGTGGAGCGCCGCTCGCCGAGGACAGCCTGGTCGCCCCGGCGGTCCACTTCGAGCCGCCGGCTGCGCCCCGACGCGCTGCAGCGCCCCGCCGACCGTTCGCGGATCGCGATCGGCAGCGCGACGGCCGAGTTCTCGCTAGCCATCATCTCAGCATGCGCGACCAAGAAGGTCGCTGTCATCCTGGAGAACCCAGCTGGCTCACCGTTGTGGAGTGTGCTTCGGATGACAGCGTTGGCCAGCAAGCCGACCAGCTCCCAGGTCATCCTCGACTACTACCAGTGCGGTGCCACCTTTCGCAAGCGGGCCCAGCTGCAGGCCTGGCATGCGGGTGGCCTCGGCCCCTGCCGCCGGGTGTGCTCCGGGCGACGCGGGCTGTGCTCCCAGACCAATGAGCTTCGCGTGGTGCTGGAAGGCTCCAAGATGACGTGTGCTGCGGCCGCGTGCCCCCAGGCTTTCGCGCGCCAGGCTGCTTCAGTGTTATTCAATTCTGTGCAGTGTGCAAGACTCGAGCTAATGTGGATATCACTTTCATCCTGGAAGAGTTTTGTGGCGGCAAGCCAGGTCATACTATGCGTGTAGTGGGCGGGCTTCGCAGTTCCGGAGTTCTCGCCTCGGCAGTGTTATCGCAAGCTTCGCTAGTTGTCTCGCTGCGAAGGGCTCGGATTTGCTTTGCAAGGAAAAAGGTATGCGCCTCGGGAGACCCGTGAGGCCCCGCGGAGGATAGAAGTTCTGATAACGGGCATCCTGAGTGAGCGTGAGGGCCTCCACCATCGCTTCAGACGTTCGAGTTGCATGCGTGTCCGATGCCTTCTGTGCTCAAGTCTGTCCCTCCCCCCCCCCCCCCCTGTCTTTCGCATTTTAACCGTCGTGGGACGGGCTTCGCAGTTCCAGAGTTCTCGCACCGCCAGTGTTATCGCAAGCTTCGCCTGTTGTCTCGCTGCGAAGGGCTCGGATCAGCTCTACACAAAAAATGTATGCGCCTCTGGAGACCCGTAAGGCCCCTCGGAGGATCGATAACGATATCGATAATGGGACCGATCATGACATCGATCGAGTGGTATTGACAGTGAGGTCGGCTGGGAGAACGATAGTGATATCGATAGTGATATCCATCGCGAGAGGGATAGTGATGTCGATAGTGGACATCGGTTTGGAGATCGGTTGGGAGATTGGTCGTGGAAGCGATAGCGAGCTCGATAGCGAGAAGGATCGTGAGTTCGACTGTAATATCGACATTGAGACCGATATTCAGATCAATAGTGAGTTTGATAATGACATCGTTCGAGTGAGATCGATTGTGAGATCGATTGTGAGATCGTTCGTGATATCGATAATGATTTCGATCGTGATAGGATGGTGCGATCGATTAAGCGAGATGCTGGCTCCTCCCCCCGCACCTGCTTATCACCCGTAGGGTGGTCGTACAGGTTCTCGCCGAGTATGTCGAGAGTCATCATGGGTTTATCCGGCGCCGTCTTGCCGCCAGCGCTGGCCGTGGAATGTCGGTTTTGCTAGACAAGTTTGCGTGTGGGAGACTTTTGGTGGCATCCAGTGGATTCGGGAGTGTTGTCACCCATTTGAGTCGTCGTGCTTTCAGCCATTGTTGATTCCGTACGCATATCGCATTGGCACAGAGCAGGTGCCTGGTACGCTGAATGAGGCACGCGCGCACATGCGACTTTTTGGGCTTACAGGTCTGTTTCTCAGAGGGTGGGGCGGCGGCGGGCGTGGGCGCTCGCTCGCTTGCCTGCCCATCCTCCCTCCTCATCGTTCTCCTGTTGCTGCTGCTGCTCCTCCAGTTCTTCCATCCTCTATCGTCCCTCCTTCTTCCACCCCCCCGCAGTTATACATTATGCGTATTTGCGTAGTTTCTCCTTTTGCATGGTTGCCCGCCTATCCCGCACACGGTTTTCCACAAGGGATTGCCCAATGTGGTCTCCCATTTGGTTTTTTTCCACCGCCAGAACAGTCTCCGCCCTTCAAACAATTGTGCTCAGACTGTAGCGGGGGCCACAAGTACGTATCGATTTTCAATGAGCCTCCGTCCAATGGAACGATGCCCATGCCGCGGCGGCGATTACATTCTTGCGCGTGCAAGAGTGGTGCTACCGCTGACGCGTTGGCCGCGTTTCGGACAATGCCCGCCCCATGGAACGATGCCTTCGCCTGAGCGCTGGCCGTATTCCCGCATCAGCAACAGCACCGCTCCCGTTGCAGCGCTTGCCACATGCAGAGCCTTTCTCTCTGCCCTCCTCCTCTCCCCCTCCTCATTCCCTGATTTGCTCGGGTACTGTGCTTCGGCATTTCTGGCTTCAGGTGTGGATGCATTGCTTACTCCGATGTTTGTCTTGCGGCTGAGCAGGCCCTAAGTTTCAGGTGCCGCGGCTGGGTTTCGAAAGCCGAGGGTTCCTTGCAGTATTCACATGTTTCCTGTCTCCCCTCGCCTCGCTCTCCTGCTCCTCCTCCTCCTCCGCTGCATTACCGCCGTCATGCCCGTGCCTGTATCCGATGGGCGCGTTCATAGCCCCCGTGAGGGGAAGCGGATCTCATGCTCAGTGCCCCGGGGCGGGCCTCATGCGTTTGCTCGTGCACTGCGGTCGTGTTCGTGCGGGAGAAACAAAAGACATGCAGAGATTTCCACGGATTTCCGCCACACGGACCGACACTCCTGGATCTTTTCGCACCCTCTTTCTTCCCATCGCTTCCGTCGCTTCCTGCCACGTCCGTCAAGATTCCCCGTCCTTCCTTCGTCCCTCCGCCTCCTTCATGCTTTCACGACTCCCCTTCGCCTTCTTCATGCTCCTCCCACGTCTGGATCTTCAGGGCCCTCTTGGACAACGTTGCCCTTTCGAGATCCATGCCTTTTTCGATATTCGGCTCTGCGAGTAGCGGCGACTCAACTCCATTGGAATGGATGGGGGGGAGGGACAGAATGTCAGACAGGGTGCGAGCGCACCAATTTCGTCTTCCCCCCTCTTCCATCCTCCTCCACAGCATCCCTCCTCTCTCCTCCACGCTGCCTCCTGCCTCCTTCATTTCTTCTCCCTCCCCCATTCCCCTCCCTCACCCAACTACCCTCGTCCCCATGTTCCTCCCCTCTCTTACCTCCACCGGTCTTGTTCCCACTTGTTGCAACACGTCGATCAACAGGCGCCCCCACTCCTCCTTCCCCTCTCATGATGCTGCGGTTCCTCTTTCCTTTCCCTTCGTAGTCTGCTGTTGCCGCACCCTTCCCTTCCACCATATCGAATCCGCTGCAGGATATTATTCCAGTTTCTAGTCCCGTTTGGCCTGGCACAGGCAGGGCATGCCCAGGGCCCCCCATCACTCGGAATTACCCTTCTCTCTCCTTTTCCCCAGGCATGTCACGTCCGCCCACTTTGTCAGCCATGGGGAAATAGAGCTCGGGCTAGGGCAGCTATCGCGATTGGCAGATTTTTTATGCTACCAGCGAAGTTCTGGCGGCTCAATGGGGAGTCATTGATTCCCTCTTGGGTTGCCTCCTCTCTTCTCCTTAGACTTACTTCCTTTCCCCTTCTTTCGCTGTCACCACATATATGGGTAGTCCCCAGGGTCCCATTATGTGAGATGCTTGTTCTGCACTGTTCTATTTTAGCCAGGCGGACGCCTGCGGGCGGATTTGCCCGACAGGACGCATGCCATAGGCGCAAGCTCGCTGCAGTTCCCCCAAAGTAGCTGCAGTCCCCAAACATACCGCGTCCTTTTCGCGGGGGCTGTGGGGGTCAGCGCGCTCAGAACCGATGAGGCTGATGAGAGCTGAGCGGCACTTCGATTCTACCCACAGCTCCTGGTCCTCCGCTCCTGTTGCCTCTGCTGCTTCTGCTGCTCGTCGTCCTCCCCCCGCCCTCCTCCCTCCGCTGTTCGTCCCTCGTTTTGCTCCTCCGTGCTCCGTCTGGATTCGTCCCGTCGTTGGTTGCGAAGGACATCCAGCTGAAGTGGTCGGCGGATCTCGGTAACGCCACCAACATGGAGTGGCCGCTGGTGCCAAAGGCGCAGGGCTGCGAGCTTCGACGTAGATAGGGCCCCGCAGTGGCTGGTGTGTGCCCCCTTAGCTTTTTGTTCAATCGCGCAGCTTTTCCACGATCCTGACCTCTCGAACCGGCCCGAGAGACCCCTCCGATGGTCCCGAGGCGAACCCGTGGGGCCATCCTTGCCTAAGTTGGAGACGTTTAGTTCCAAAGCACGTCCCTCGGTTTCGTGAACTTCTGGAGCCCCTGGAGGCCCACGGAAGCGCCCAGGATGGGCTCCACGCCCCCTTAGAGAGAGACCGAGGACTGCCAAGGGTTTGGAATCATTATCGAAGACGCCTACAGCGAATTACCGCCGCCCCCTGCCTTTCGGAGTGGCCCATGTGGCCGAGCGTTGTGGCAAGAGCTCTGCCAGGCTATCGGACCATGTGTTCCCTCAGCCGTTGTGGACATCCTTCGGGCATCACTTGGGGGAGGATGGCGGGGAAAATCAGGAGGAGGGGGAGGAGGAGGAGGGGGAGAGGGAGCCTCTGGGAGACTCTTGGGGCTTCTTGGGAGCTTCCTGGGAGCCTCTTGGAGGCATCTTGAGAGCCTCCTTGAGCCTCTCGGGGGCCTTTGCGGGCTTCTCGGGGGCCTCTTTGGCAATGTCAAGCCATTCCTGGCTCGTCTGACGCCGTCGGAAGCCGTCTTTGGGACGTCTCTGGGCCGACTTGGGGCCCTCTTGGGATGCTTCATGGCCGTGTTGGAGGCCATCGTGGGCGTCTTGGAGGCCTTTTGGGCCGTCTTGGAGCCTTCTCGGGGCCGTCTTGGGGGCCTCTTGGGCCGTTCTGGAGCCATCTTGGAGGCCTCTTGGGCGATCTTGGGGCGATATTTGGAGGCTCCTGGGCCGCCTCGGGCTTAAGGAAAATCAATGACTTTGGCCTCTTGGGGCCTCTTGTGCCGTCTTGGTGACCTCTTGGGGGCCTCTTGGGCCGTCTTGGGCCATCTTGGAGCCGTCTTGGGTCGTCTTTGTGGGCTCCTGGCCCGTTTGACGCCGTCGGAAGCCGTCTTGAGTGCCTCTCTGGGCCAACACCCGGACCCTTTTGGGGTGCTACATAGCCGTCTTGGAGGCCATCGTGGGCGTCTTGGAGGTCTCTTGGGCCGTCTTGGAGCTCGTTGGGGTCGTCTTGGGAGCCTATGGGGCCGTTCTGGGACAATTTTGGAGGTCTCTTGGGCGATCTCGGGGCGATCTTCGAAGGCTCTTGGGCCGTCTCTGGCCGTCGGAAGGCAGAAAAAAAGCAAATGCCAAGTCCTTCAAAAACCTAAGGACAATCAACGATTTTGGCCTCTTGGGGCCTTCCTGTTGGCCCTCTTGGAGGCCTATTGGGCCGTCTTGGAGGCCTCTTGGGGGCCTCTTGGGCCGTCTCGGGCCATCTTAGAGCCATCGTGGGCTGTCTTGGTGGGCTCCTGGCCTGTCTGACGCCGTCGGAAGCCGTTTTGAGGGCCTCTCTGGGCCGACTTGGGGCCCTCTTGGAGGGCTCCAGGGCCGTCTTGGAGGCCATCTTGGGCGTTTTGGATGCCTTTTGGGCAGTCTTGGGGCCCTCATGAGGCCGTCTTGGGAGCCTCTGGGGCCGTTCTGGGACAATTTTGGAGGCCTCTTTGTCATGGGTCCCCTGTTTTCGTGATGTAGGTTTAGCTGTTTGATCTTTCTCTATGAGTGTGTGTGTGTGTGTGTGTGTGTGTGTTTCTATAGCGTTCAGGACCCGCTATGTTGAGACAGAGTTTCACTCAGGACAGAAGGTAGTACTGTTGTTCGCCGGTTTGGCTCAACACAACAAGCATCCGCTCAGCTCGCTGCTGCCACTGTTGGTAGCGGAGCGGTGGTCCGCCATGGCCGGCAGGGGTGGCACCAGGCGCCGTTCGGGCGGTGGCGCCGGAGCTGTTCGGACGGTCAGGCGACTGCCGCTCCATCGAGGACGTGCAGTGCGCGGATCCACGGGAGGGTGCGAGCAGGTCTGCAGAGGAGAGCACGCAGAGGTACGCGACGGTGGACGTTGTGAAAGGCCAGCCTCAGCAGGTGCCACCGCCTGCTGCAGCTGGCGGAGCCGCCGCGGGTCGGCCGGGCCCGAGGCAACACCAGGAAATCGCCTTCGGGATTAGATCAGCGGATTCCGCGGTTCCTGGTCAGCCCCAGGGCACCGCCTGCCTCCTTGCGGCCCGCAGGTGAGCAGTCTTCTTATCGTACCCGCGCAGCCCTTCTGAGGATCTTGGCTTCGAGTGCTTCTCATCCAGGCGGCCCCTCTCGCGCACACACACGCGCTCCGGGCACGCCAGTGGGAGTTGGAAGGGAAAGTATTTTACGCAGACGCTTATTCAGTCCTTTGAACGAGATGGACGGCGACGCCGACGGCCCCGAGGTACACACACTTGCGACTCCTACCCCTACGACTTCACCGGGAGCGCCCCCACCAGCACGTGTAGCCGCACAGCAGGAGCAACGAGGACAGCAGCCACATCCATCGTCTTTGGACGAGATCGCCAAGATGTCCCGCAAGGAGGTGCAGCCTCTTCGCAACACCATCAGCAGCCTCGAACGACGCCTTACTGACATGAGCGGGATCATCGAAACCAGGTTCGAGGAGGCGGAGGAGCACATCGAAGACATCTCCATTCGCCTCACCAACCTCGAGAACCACCAGAACGCTGAGTTCGAGAATAGTATGGTTTCCGCAGTTGAGGAGAAACTTATTGAGCTCGAGCGCCAAATCGCGGGACTCACCACGGGCAAGCAGTTCGAATGCAATGCAGTAGTTGGGGGTCTCGGCAATTTCGATACCTTGCGGCACGCTGCCACATGGATAAACGAACGTGCTCTTCAGCTCGGAGCCCCTGAACCGTCCGATATCTTCATCAAAGGCGAGTCGCTCCAGCAGATTGCTTTCGCCAAGTTTGATTCCATGAGCGCCGGGGACAAATGCGTAGGCATCTTGGGGAGGGCACAGCTGAAACACCAAGAGAACATGATCTGGACACGTCCGGATCAGCCTTTGGAGCAGAGGGTGCCTGAGAGCTTCTTGTTCGGACTCCGGAAGATTTTTTTGGGATGGGGTTATTCCAAGAGTGAGGTGCGCGTGGGCACGGTGGAACAGAAACTCAAAGTGGCTAAAGAACCAGTTTGTCAGGCACATGTGGCCGGGGCGGCTCTCGAAGTTGCTTGGGAAGGACCTTGGGCAGCCTGGGGCGACCTCACCAACAGCCAGGAGGTGGCCGATCTGAAAGACCGCGCCTACGGGGTTCTGCAGAGGGCCTCTGCGAAAGGCGGGGGCAAGGGGAAGAAGGGAGGCCACTAGGAAATGCGACGGCGCATTGGCGATGTGGCAGCGGCGCCTACACCCGGCAAGTGGGTTACATACTCGTGCCGGCCAATAACATGCAGCCGCATTGCGTCCTGGAGTGTCGAAGGCATTAGCTTGGACAGTGCGGTAAAACTATACGAATTAGTTCGGCACAAGCGAAATATGGGCATGGCGGTGCCATGTCTCCAAGAGACACATTGCAAAGGCTCACCCGTATTTGATTTCGAGGGGCACCTCATCATTTTATCTGGCGCCGGAGGGGGCGGAAGAGAGTGCGCGGGAGTTGGATTTATTGTAGCCCGTTGGGCTCGCCAATCTATCAAAGGGTACCGGCAACGAGACAACGGAAAGGCTTGCATTCGCTTGCGGGTCACAGGCGGGGTATTGACGCTTGTCACGGCGTGCGCGTGGACGAACGAGCACGACTACGACGTCAGGCGCGACTTCTTTATGGATCTTCTGGGGTTCACCAACATGTGTGCCTCACATGGGCCCGCTGTACTTTTGGGCGACTTCAACGCGAGGCTCTTGCGTCGATTTCCCGGGGGGGAGCACGGAGAGCATATTTTCCACAATCCGCGAGGGAAGTGGGATCCCACATCGAACCGAGAGCTACTCATAGAGCTATGCGGGGCATTTGAAACAACTGTGACAAACACGTTTTCAACAGCGGGGACGAGTCCAATATTACGTACCATGATCTCGGGGTGAAGCCGTCGGAACCGATCGTGCCAGGCAGGTTTGAGCAATTGTTGTCGCTTCGCGAATCCCCACCAGCCCATCCAGAAACGATGCCCAGAGGAATTGCCTCGATCAGAGAAGTGGGCAGCACACAGAGGAAGCCATTATGAGACATCTTGGGATATCTTGAGCCATCTTGGAGGTCATTTTGGGCTCTCCCAGACGCTCTTGGAGTCATCTTAATCCGTGCCCCCCCCCAAGAGGCCTCCATGTGGCTAAAACCTGTGTAGAATCAATGATTAGGCATTCTCGCCGAGGCCTCTTGGAGCATCTTGGGTGCATCTGGGGGGGCTCTTGGGGCCTCTTGGGGGTCTCTTGGGGGCCTCCGGGGGGCCTCTTGGGGGCCTCTTGGGGCCATTTTGGGGCCATCTTGGGACCTCTTGGGGCTTCCTGGGCGCTTCTTGGGGCCATCTTGGAGGGAGTCGATCAAACAAGAGGGGGGGGTGAATTAGCGCCCCCCCTCGGAAGCCCCTAAAATCGCCTCTTGGACCCCTCTTGGAACGCTCTTGGAGTGCTCTTGGGCGCTCTTGGGGCCGTCTTGGGGCTCTTTTGGGGCTCTCTTGGGGCCCTCTTGGGCCATCTTGGAGCCATCTCCAGGCCTCGGATGGCCATCGGAAGCGAAAAGGCGAGAAAGCAAAAATCATTGATTTTCCTTAGGTTTTGGGACGATTTTGGCCTCTTCGGGGCCTCCTTGGGGAGCTGTTTGGCCACTTGGAGTTATCTTGGGGCCGTCTTTGGGCTTCTTGGAACCATCTTAGGAGCCATCGTGAGCGATCTTGCGCTATCTTGAGCCATCTTGGAGCTCATCTTGGGTTCTCTGAGGCGCTCTTGGAGCCGTCTTGGGCCATCTTGGACGCTCTAACTACCCGCGGCCCCCCCCGTCCAGGTCCAGGGGAGGGGGTAGGGGGAGGGGTAAACCCCTCCCCAAGGGGGAAGAGGGAGGGGT